ACCTGATGTGTATAAGAACCAGGGGAACCAAAATATGCAACAGATGTTTCTCTTTGCAAAGAAATCGAAGCTGACATTATTTCTCTATATATTGCATGAAGTGAGTCTGATGACAGTGGACCATTGTTAAGATACTTGAGCTTTTTAAAAATAGTTGTCGGAAAAGAACATGAGACATCAGTCTAACATGTGAGGACGAAAACTCGTAAAGTTTATATAAGTCAATTAAATCAATGAAATAATCACTTTTTCGAAAACTTGTTTCTCATTACCCGGAATAAAAGCTTCAATTGTATCTACTTTTTCATCACCGTTGCTGCTTTTTTTTTTTTTTAAAAAAAAAAATTAATTCGAATAATAAAGTATATGTTAAAACTAACCTAACTAACCTTGATGAATCTTTTTTTTCCTTTCCTATGTTCAATAAAACTCTTGCACGTTCGTTCAAAAGACGAACCAGTTTAGTATCTATTGAATCAATTTTTTGATGTAAATCTGTTGCGTTAATATCCATTATCGTGATCTAACTTTAAGAACTCTCTTTTGGTCACCAGTTAAAGATTATTTGAATTATATGAAGAGGTTTGATTTAGTAAGCCTTATATATATATAGTGGTATTACGACGACAAATACCGATACGTTGTACGGATGATTTCTTGCGTCAATCAGACCCCAAAAACTTGTTTAATTCTGGTCAAATTTGCAGATCATTTGGCCTTTGGAGATGAGTTTTTAACTCATTTCTAAAGGCCAAATGATCTGCAAATTTGACCAGAATTAAACAAGTTTTTGGGGTCCGGTTGAAAAAATAAGCCCATATGGGGATTTTGTTCAGCTGTGTCACGGGGAAAATCAGGAGGCTGTGATTCACAGATAACCACAGAATTTCTCTTAATCACAGCCAATCACAGAAATTACTCTTAGCCATCCATCTTAGTCACCACAGAATTTGTTTTAACCACACGCCTTAACCACCGCATAAAATCATCGTCCCTGGGTAACGTGAATGCGCAGATCGTAAAAACAGCAATATGATTAAGTCGACCAATTCATAAGTTAAGGAACATACAAAAAATCAACAAAAGTAGCAAATTGTTAAAACCTTTAAACACTAAATTCATCATAATATAGAAAGTGTAGAAAAGTAATAAAGAGATTTTCATCTTAGAAAAAAACATCATAAATTTGTGGCCGATATCTTGGTACAAAGTAACAACCATAGGTCGTATTTACTTAAAATTATTTTATTTAATTTTTATAAAAACATTTTTATTCATGAAGAATTTTTAATTTGAAAAACACAATTACACAATAATTTGAAGGAACATTCTTGTAAGCAACTAGGCAAACAATACAGAAATCTTAAATGAATTACTCATTATTATCCTAATAACGTGGCAATAAACTGAGCACAGATTAACGGTATATTTTTGTTAAGAAGCTTACAAAAGATTAGATTTCCATATAACCAATATATATGCCAATAATGAAAAGCTTGGCAAAAGTACAATAAATAACTAAGAAGTAATAATAAACTAGAAAAAGAAAAAAACAGAAATAAAATAAAAAATGCTTGAAACCTGAACTAATATAAAACCTAGGTTGATTCTAAAAGTTATATAATACTATATAAATACAGAAGCCTATATACTATCTATACTAAATTAACATATATAAAAAAATAAAAATATAGTCAAATGCAGTGTTTAAAATTCAAATTTATAATTATGTTCTCAGAAGAGCTTAATTTAAATTATTAGTGTTCTCAAAAAAATTTTAATGTTCTCTAAAGAGTTGAATTAATTCGGATAATTTATATTAAAAACACAACTTTAAGACTCTTTACATCAGCTTGAATCAAATTATTTAAATTATATGATCATTGTAGCATTACTTAATTAATTTTATAAAATAATTTTTAAATAACCGAATTATACAGTTCATAATATGCTCGGGTTAGACTCTAAACTCAACCCAAATGACCTTTTAGAGCACTAGTTTATTGAATTATATTAATATTTTTTTGAGAACATTTAAAGTAATAAAGTGTTCTCAAACAAGAGAGCCTTATTTTAAATATCAATGTTCTTAAAAAAATTGTATGTTCTTTGTATAGTTGTTAGACGAAACCTCGAGGTTTCGCGCTGACGAAACGCGAAACCTAGTTTCGTCTTTCGTCAATTAAAA